ACCTCGTATTAAATGATGGCAAATTGGAATGTGCACCGAGGCACCACACTGAGAGTTCTGGTGTCCCAACCCACAGGTGCACGGTTTGCTTTCCTAAGGAAAACATGTTGATTTCATCTGAGCAAGAAAAATATTTTCCAGCATAAGTAAAACCTTGTCAGTTTTTTTTTTATATACAAAGGAAAGATAATCAAAACAAGAAGTTTCGAAGCTGGAGACTGAGCCTCGGGGAGGGCTTCCCGGAGGAAGAATTTGGAGAGGTTAAAAGCACACTACAGTAGACACATCTATATGATAAATTTAGAATTGAAATGTACTTAGTGGAGCACCGACATCTTCAATTTATGTGCTGCACGGAGACCCATAAAGGCACAGGAATCCACCCACGCAGGACTTCTTGCAAGATCAGAGTCTTAGTTTTAAGCTCCATAATTCTCTCTGGCCCAACTTGCTGCACAATTAACCAGCTGACTGCTCTGATTTAGGACCAGCTTTCTGCATCAGACGTTTTCTTGGCAGCTGTCAGCAGCATTACTCGGCCTATACATCCGTAAATCAAAAGTTGGGCCACCAGAAAATATCTTGTGATTGGCTTAAAAAATCAGGAGATGCTTCGAGCCAGTGAAAGCGGCGACGTTTTTTATCTTCATTGTATTTTCAGAAGTTAATGGAAGAAGCACTTTCACAGCCTCTATCAGAGTCTGTGAGAGCTGCTGAAAGGCAGGGCCCTGCTCGCCCTCTCCTGTGTCCACCACGGCGGCAGTTCTGGGTGAGGAGCAAAGCCCGGGGCTGGCGGAGGTTCCTCAGGCCGAGCACAGGAGTCGGCGTGACCCCGCGGCGCGGTGCGTGCTGCCAGCCTCCTTCCTCACCCCCACGCTCCTGCTGAGCGTCAGGCTGGGCTCTGCGGGAAGGTGGGGTGGGCGCACATGCTGAAAAAAACCCAAAAACGCCCCAAAAGCCTCATGTGAGAGGCTTGGCATGGCCAGTGTATCACTCTGATCTGGCTGGAAGCCGCCCGCCTGCTAAAACCTGTGCTCCCTGGGGCTTGGGCTGGGCTTAGCTGGGCAGGAGGGGAGCGTGGCCGTGGCAAAGGCAGCAGTGCACGGGAAAAACAAAGCTCTGAACCTGCTAGAGCCCCGGGGCTGAGCTTTGTCCCATCACCACCTCTGCCAAGAGTCCCCCCTCAGCCTGGTTCCGAGCGAGCCTCTTCCCGGGGAAGGACAGGGGCCAGAAAAGAGGGGTGACTGAACACGCGGGGATCTCAGCCCAGCAGCCAGGACCGGTTACCTGGGCCCTGCTGTGCACCCAGTGAAGACACACGTTCCCTTCCCCTGCCATCCCAGCAGGGGCACCCAGGTCTGCACTAACACCCCTCACCCGGCCCCTGTGTCCGGGGGCTCATGGGGGCCACCCAGGGGCCTCCCCCTGCCCGTAGTGACACAAGGTGTGAAAACGAGGAGCCTTGGCTCTCCCAGATCGCTGCTTAGGACTTGGCTTTCTGCAAGGGGAGCTGGAAGCTAAACACAAAGCGTGTAAAAAACAAAGGAGAGGCCGTAAAAAGCAAGGGGTGGGGGTTTATAAGCTGGCGTGTGGGGTGATGAGAGCTGCCAGGGCTGCCTGGGCAGGGGAGGGAGCCAGTGGCACGAGGAGCGCGGCCGCGGCAGCAAACGCGCCGTTCGAGTGCGATGGTCTGCAGTCTGCCCTTTCCCTGGGCTCAGATGGGATCTAATTAGCAAACGGCCTCATCAGATGGATAGCTGGAGCAACCTCTCGTTCTCTTTGCAGGGTGGCCTCCAGGACAAAGTTCTTTGAGACAGCTTCCCGAAGAACAAGCAAGTAAGCCCGGCAGCGGGGAGTTGGCGGGTGGGGCAGAGCAGCCCTGCTGCCCGCGCTCCCACCGAGGCCGAGCCAGGCCCCTCGGGACCCCCCCCCCCTTTCTGGCCCCTTGGAGTCATGAGCAGAAGATGGGTCTCAGCTGAAATGCTGCAGCCAAAGAGCACAAAGTGTAAAGTGTGACTCTAGACACAGACTTGATAAGTTAAATGTAAGTCTGTGAAGGACTAAATATATCTACGGATCCCTTTTATCCGGCGTGGATCCAAGTCAGCGTAGTGCACATTGTAGCTCTCAGGCTTTGCGAGGAGCAGAGCTAAGTCCTGGCAGAGAGGAGGAGGGCTGGGCAGGTCGCGGCAGCCGGCAGAGGTGCGGGACCGGAGAGCGCATGGTCCTACACACGCTGGAGGTGCAGGCGTAGCTCCGGCCCAGAGGCACGGGGGGCTGCAGGGACAGCTTGGGCCAGGGGCCCAGCAGGGCTTTGGACAGCAAGCGCTGTGCTTCGTGGCAGCGGATTTCAGTTTTAATATCGTCTGCTTAAACCAGCTTCAGCTTCCCACGCTTACAGATCGCCAACCTCCGCCAGAAGCGCGGCAGGTTTGCGTGTCAGTCTGATAAATGTTGCCTGCTGGTCCTGGCAGCGAGGTCACTTGTGAGACTGAAAAACAGATCCCTGACCCACCCCTTACCCAGCCCTCTGTGGGTCCGAGCTTGAGCTTGCTAATTGTATTAAGTTTCTCTCTGTTTTCTTCTGCTTCTTCCTACACAGTTCTTCATCACCACAAGGCAGGATCCCAGGTGATGAGAGCTGAGGCTAAAGGTACGTGTTCATGACAGTAAACCAAATAATCAGCCGAAAGCACACACGTAACAGTCAGCATTTGGGGGGCGGCGGGAGGCCAGGGGAGGCGGTGGGAGTCGCAAAGGCAGGATGAGGAGAAACGTCCTCCCTGCAGGAGACTCTGGCAGAAGCAACGGCAACAACTCGAGGTGGGCCCTGCTCTTCGCTGGGGTGTGCTGTGGAGTAAATCAGGCGGATCTGCCCCTCCTGAGCCCCCTCGGGCAGCCGCCAGCGCGGTGCCGAGGTCTGGCCTTGCTCTGGTGCTGGCTGTGCCGCCGCCGAGGGGTTCACACGGGCTTGGTTTCTTCTTCCAGACTCTGGAACCGCCTCAGCCCAGCTGGACCCAGGACATTCTCTGTGCTTGTGAAACGGCCGTGCCACAGCGAGGACTTTCCCAGTGCCAGCGCCCCTGGGAGCAGCTCTCCGACCGGACGATGATTTCAGAGCGTGCTGGCAGAAGTGGCTCAAGAAATTAGAAGTGAGAGAGACAATGACGGAGGGAAGACCCTCCCCACGCGGTTGTGTCGAAGTGCCCCGGCGCCCCCGCCGCCCCTCTGCGCCAGCTGTGGAGGAGGAAGCTGGCGGGGGGGCCCTTGTTGCTGCGGGAGGGGCGGCGGCGGCCGGGGGGGCCTTTCCCTGCTCCCTCTGGGGGAAGCGCGCCTGGGCAGGGGTGACCCGGGACAGCCGTGGGGTCACAGCGCCGGGGCGGCCTCCCCGCCTGGGTGCGAGGGGAGTGACCGGGGCTGGGGCTGGCCCCCCCCACCAGGAGAAGCTCCGTCCTGCCCGGGAGGGTTTCCTGGCTGGGCGAGCGCTATCGCAGCCTGTCGGGAGCCGCCTGTGTTACTGGAAACGCTGCCCCTGTGGGGCAGGGACTGGGGGAGCGTCGTGGGCATCTCTTCATCACCCCCCCGCCGGCGTCAGCGTGTCCCAGTCCTGGGGAACAGGCTGGGCTGGGGGCTTTGCCTGGGGGAGACCCCGCCTGCGGCTTCCCGGGCAGTGCCCTCGGGCCAGG